TACTGTGATAATGACATCAGAAATTTGAGATAGCCAATTCGTAACAATGATCTCCAGGCATCATTTGCCTGCAGTACTACGACAGAAAGCCATTGGGAGACTAGAGGCAGGACAAAGTCAAACAGAAGTGGCCAGATGGCTAAAATGTGAGTCATTCTGTGGTTCATAGACTTTGGAGGCAATTTCAAATCACAGATTCGGCACCTAGGAGGCTCAGCCAAGGACGGCCAACTGCTACGACGAGCGCCGATGACCGATATTTGACATTATGTGCACTCAGGAATAGAACCGCTACTCCGACTCTTCTTATATCCTCCCTTGCTGCAGCCACCGGAAGGTTGGTGTCAACGTCAACTGTGCGTAGAAGGCTTCACAAAGGTGGTCTGTATGCGAGGCGAAAAGTCACTCCATAGGAAGGACCGTTTGCAGTGGACACGACAACATGTCCACTGGATGCCTGAGCAATGGAGGGGCTATTCTCTTTACGGATGAGTCCAGGTTTAGTCTAGAACGCGATAGTAGGCGTTATTTGATGTGGAGAAAACCTGGAACCCGTTATCATACGTCAAACATCCGTGAAAGAGATGCATACGGAGAAGGCAGTGTCTGTGTTTGGGATGGCATCTCTTTGGGTGCACGCACAGACATACATGTTTTTCCAAGGGGAACCGTGAATGTTCATGTTTATACAGATGACATCCTTGATTCTTATGTGCGCCCATTTGCAGGGGCAATAGGTGATGCTTTCCTGTTACAGGACGGACAATGCAAGACCGCACAGGACTCGCATTGTAGATGATTATCTTCAACAGGAAATAATTATGCACATGGAGTGGCCAGCTCGATCCCGGACTTGAATCTTATCGAACACATTTGGAAAGCTTTAATAGCTGCTTTCAATCCGCCCCCTTAGACCCTTGTCACGCTTGCAACTGCTTTGGAAGAGCAATGGCTCTCGCTTCCTATGCTACTGATAGACTGCATAATTGAATGCATCACACATCACTGTATGTGCCGGATTGCTTCTAGAGGCGATTATATTCCATAGTGAAGGTACTTTATAAGGTATTTATCCCACTTCCCTAGCGAGCCTTCGTGGTGTAGTGGTTCTGCACACTGGGCCGGTATTCCAGAGGTCCGTGGTTCGATTCCTGGCGAAGGCGGTTGCATATTTTTCATCTTTTCTGCTTCCAATTTACCTAATGTCTCTACACTTTTACTATAGCAAACTGACATCTTCGATTTGTTCATTTTATACATGTGCTAATTTCTACACTACCATAATTGTATGATAATTTCTTTTTATGTTATTTGATACCTTACTATGTGTTGTATATTGTGGGCAAGTTTCATAAAATTCTATCTACATGTAACTTTTTCAGTAATCGTGATTTTTGTCATTTTTCCTTAATTTATGATAACCAGTGTATAATGGACCTGCTAAATTTACTCCCACGATTTCAAATACTGCAGCATATCGAATACGGTCTTTAGTGAGGGGGTGGGGCGTGTCTGCATCCAAACGTTTACCAGAATGTCTCTTACATGTAACGCATTTTGAGATAACTGACCTCACAATTTTTCTTCCATTTAAGATCCAGAAACGTTCCCTCAGAAGATTAAGTAACATTAGAGTCCCCACATGCCCACGCCTTTTATAAAAAGAAAATATTAGTAGTTTTACAACCTGGTGTTGAGAAGGGAGAATCACAGGTCTTGTAAAAGAGTGGCTGTCTTCTTGATAGACAATTTTTGTTCTTAATGTGATGAGATTCATCTTCATCTTTACAAACTTTTAGTGTTCTCGGTATTTTATCTTTCTCGTCTAAGAATGCATTGCTTTGAATGATCTTTATTATTCTTTTCTCAGTTTCTAAAAAATCCTGTGCATTCAGACTTCCTTGTTTTCTCAGTTCTTTCGATTTTTTACAGTTTTACAAAAAATCTCAAGATCCAGCCAATCATGCGTACAATTTTTTCATACTGTGAAAAGTAACGATAGTACCAATCAGTATCTACATTTTTTTATCTGAGTAGTCAAGCAGCTAGTTGAAGATGAAACAACAGCTTTCTTCCGTTCCTTAAGAACTTCATCTTCATTCACAACAAATTCTGAAGACAGCTATTTGTCAGTAGATAAATATAACCAATCAGGGCCCTCCCATCATTTTGACTGTATCATTTTCTTCGCAGAACAAAGTTTGTTTCAATTGCAGTCCACTCTTTCTTTTAAAAAGAGATTATGTGAACATTGAGTCAGCAGTTCTTTGACTGACTGTCGATTTGAGCTTAATATGAATCCTACATTATCTGAGAGTGCTTTACTTGCAAAAATGTTTTACAGTAAAGAGTCCAATCCTGCTGTGGCTCTTACGGAATTTAGAAGTAAGTCTTGACGTCTGTAAAGGTGCAGAATCTGTTGTAGAACTGAGAGGTATGATTAAAAATTAGAGGAAACATAATCGCTCGGAGTTATAGCCTGCAAAGGACGAAAAGCAGTCACAGAAATTGTGGTAATAGAAGTTGCTATTTCAGTGTTCGACATCAAAGGGACTACCAGTGGTTCAAGTGCTCTTGCAATAGCTTCCGAAAGCGAATGCCTTATGCTCTGGCAAGAAAATCTTACAAAAAAATGCTGCATTTCTATCCGTGTGAAATTAATCGTGTGCAAGAAGTAAGAATGAAAGATTATAATCCCCTGACTGTCGCCCTAACGTTTCTTACCCGAATAGAAATCCATAATTATTGGCCTTGTAAAATAATATGGGAAGATGAAGCTCATTTTTATCTGAATGGCTCCATCAATACTCCATTTGGGGCATCTGAACGGCCCACAGTCATACGTTGTGTATACTAGTGACTTCACGACCTTGAGTTCACTAAAAAGACAATAAGACGGGCTCTTACAAACATCCAGACTGACAGTTTACGCCCAGCAGTAGAGAATGTCGTAAACCGGATGCAATCTTGTACACAAGAAAGGTCAGCATATTGAAAATATTGCATGTGTTCCAGAGAACCCTAATGTTGATTAGTAAAATATTCTTTTCTGTGAGTTTCGTACTGTATGTCATTCATTTTTGAAAGTATATTTTTTATTACTGAAACACTAATGAAGTTTTGCATAATCCATTTTCTTCCCATTCGCTGTAATTATTGACTCGTTTTCGGTTCCGACAACACCAAAATCTCTCCTATCGTCAACTTTTGGTACTATTGTTTTCGGAATTCATACCTTTCACAGTTTATATATGAAATTCCGTTCATTAGTTTTAGCTGAAGATGCCTTCAAACAAGGAATGTTATTTTATAACCTCCCTATTTATCCATTGGCACCCAATGCCATCAAACCAGTTAGTATTACGATGAAGAATGCAAGCTCTTAACATTCGTTTCTCAACCTCAGACTCACATGCAGTCATTATGAAGTTGTAAATAAACAAGGAATTCGTCAAAAAAGACGACATTAGACCATTATTATGAGGTCCTTGATATCTGTGTATTTCAGTCTTCGTCTCATTGTACGTGAGGATACATGGTGCTGCGCAATATAACCAGTTTCCTGACGCAGGGCATATGATGTGGCTCATCGAACCCTAAGAGTGAGACGAAGAAGATATCTATCGTGTCTAGCGTGAGTGAGAGTTTCTGATTGTGAGATACCGCACGTCGCTCTGTGTGGCCCTTCTGAACCCACCGATTGCAAGTCCTCGTAACAGTCATTGGGCCTCGATTAATGCGAACATTTGTTTCGTATGATAATCAACAATCTCGGTAGTCTAAGATCTCTCCCTTCCCGCGATTGAATTCTGATACATGCTGGTATGATTTCCTTCTCATACCAAGCATACATGGCCACCAACACACACACACAAAGTAAATATTATTTTCGAATGAAAAGTCGGTTTGTCTTTTAATGCTCTTTCGAGATGTCATCTCTCTTGCCGGTAATGTGGGAAAACCGTGAAAGTGTTGATCATTCACATATTCCCGAATGCCAATTTTCATGCAAATTTAGATTTGTTGTGAGCTTCTTTTATGGTGCAGCAATTTTGATCGGCATCTGTGTATTTCCTTTTCCCAACAGAAATGAAGGACAGAAGTGCGTATATAATGATTGCACATGTTAAAATATGTTGAGCCTAATACCCTCCGCTAGACTGTATAAAGTATTGTTGGAAGGAAATAAAAGTTAAGGACACACGGAAGAATGCAATCCACATCACATTTTACGATTCGGAGAAGTGTAATGCTTCACTTTAAGTATAGGTATATTAAACGTAGTTCAAATTTTATTGCTATAATTTCAGTTAGAATGTAGTAATTCTTTTCTTTCAATTTTAATTTTAGACGCATGCTCCGCACGCATTGCGTACTCTTGTACCATTAGCAGCGCTTCCAATCTATACAAAGCGAACACTGAGGAAATACAAAATTAAGAAGCTAAGAACGGTGCAAAGGAACACATCACGTGATACTAGGAACCAAACTTGCAACCAAACTTTTTCTAACTTTTTATTCAGAACCGAATAATTAGGGAAATCCATCTCAGCGAAGCGATATGCAATATTTAACAGATTACAGGGGTCACTCGGAATTTGGAATTAATGGAAGCAAATGCAAGTTTACAACGAATCGCTAAATTCTTGGGTAACTATGCAACTTCTGAAAAAGACAGTTTTCGAGAAATTGTATCATTTCTCTTAAAAAGAGAATTAAAAATTACTCTTTCGATATTTTGCTTTATCGCGTCTTGCGATAATAAACGTGTTATAATTTCTTTACTTGTATCTCGTATAAAGTAGTTTAATCTGGAAAATATCGAACTGATTTATACAGCTTCTACAGTTAATCTAAAGTTAAAAAGAATTATTTCTAACAGGTCTTTGTTTTTTAAAAAGAACTTCAGCTAATACAGGTATGAAAAGCTTTATTCTATTCATCTGTTTATTCAGTAACAGTTTCAAAGTGAGGATCGTGATGTAAGAAATGTAGTGAGTATGAACGTGAGTATGAAACGTGAATAAAAAATTTCCGAGATACTCGTTCCTCTTCCTATTTTAAAAAAATGTTCTGATTAGTAGCTATCAAATATTTAAAACGTGTTATATTGCATTCAACATGTTACTTTATGCAAAGTGTGCTTATTAAGCAAAATACGCATTATATTTCTTAAAGAACGTTTCTCGTAACTATTTTAACCAATTTATTTCCTTTGGGAACTTACAGAATAAATCATGACCTGAAATTATGCAAAACATTTAATTTCACTGATACATTTGTAATTTTACATAATTTTTCTGTTCAATAAATGGAAAAGTAAGAACAGAAAAAAAATATGTACATGCTTTTTTTTAGGTTGCGTAAAAATAGTAGCTTTAATAATCTGCATTTATGTAAGCGCTATAAATTTAAAAAAAAAAATCCCTTTTAAAGTATAAATATTTTAGCAGTAGTCTGAGAGTATTTCAGTATCTCAGCATCGCACCTGGATTTTGGAATCGTTTGGAAGAATGATAACTTGATCCTAAGTATGGAAGTCGAGCTGAACTGTCCATTTCATAGTACGTGGCACTTGAAGAAGCCTGAAAAACAATAACATGTTAAGTTTATTCGATAATAATGAAGAATTTAAGTACAAAATTATTTTAACATATTATGATAAATATTTGAATATTTTCTTAATTGAAGTACAATAATTATTTGAACTTCTAACGCTAAATGTTAAACAACGTGAACGCGGAATCGTTTTATGCAAATTGAATGCTATACGTTATTTTCTACCGAAATGTTTTAATCTAGCATTACAGTAATACGTTTAAAGTGGATTCCAGATAAAAAACAACTTTTATTTTAAAATCCCACTTGAATGAACGCCACATATTTTTTAAACTGAAATTTCATTTTAATATTGTAACAAACATCTTTTCCAACAAACCAGTAACTTCTATATTCAAAAAAGAAACTGCTATGTATTCGTTCCAGTTTTAAGTTTATTACTTCACTTAGCAGTAGTATATTTACTATATTTACGGCTTGCATTCACTTCTGCTAATTGTAAGATTACAGTTTTATAGAGATCACACATGTAGTTAAATAATTTGAAAGACCGATTAAAAAGAGGTTTCCGTTTAAAGTTAGAACCGTACGAAAACTTTGCTGTGGAATTGGAGGCAAATTTATCAAGCAGAAGGCCACCTGACCTGAACTTCCTCTTCATAAGACACAGCATACATTTGTCATTTTTAATCTTTTCACGAGTAGCACCGGCTTTAACGGCCTTAAGCACTTAAATGATGTTCATGCTCCTCCCTCCCATATATATTACAGAACAACGGATATTATTCGAGCTGACCTGCTATTCGAAAGTTTCGATTTCAAGGTGAAATTGCATATTAGATTAATTAGCTAAATTATGATACGATTTAGATAGTTTGAATTGGCGAACTTGTGTACAATGTGATAATGAATATTATTGGATCATCTATTTAAGATGGAAAAGGTATAAAGTATTAAAATGCTTGTGACGATAATAATTCAGATAGACGAAATATTTAGCGTAAGACAAATTTCACATTTGACTCTTTTCATATCTGCTATATTTCGGATATAAAAAGCATAATAATATGTAGTATGTGCATCAAACAACATAACGGAAATAATTTGTAAGGACTTTATTTTGTACTTATCAATTACTTTTTATTTTACGAAATTTTCCTTTCTCTTCTGATTTCAATTTCCTGCCAAAATGCAAATTTCATTAAATTCGGAAGTAGTATTTAAGTAGCAGAATTGAAGAGTTCGCAAGTAGAAGAGTTAGAACGGTTACGACGCGAACGAGTTGTGCCGCGTATCTTCAAGTGGCTCTGTAGCTGAATATTTATGCTAGCCATTTACTTTATATTGATTTCTAGACTCGGCTTTGCTGTATGAAGCCGATAAAGCGGATTTAGACTGAAGTAGGAGACAGTTCGTGTAGTTAATATTTAATTCGTTCTGATTGTACATACTATTTTGGGTTTATGTTACTTAGCTACAAGTGGCGGTTAGTTGTAAGCACCGAGTGTGTGCATGTTCTGTTCAATTTTTTTAAAATAAAAAGGTTGTTATAACCTTCGTCGGCAGTCATCTGTTTTTTTTTTTCCAAGACATTGCGAGAATTCGCTATCTCGTCTTCAGTAGGGTCTCCATTTTATTCTCCGAAAAAGAGTTAGACTCCATAAATTTAGACTTATAATTTCACAGGACAATAAGTCTTCTTCGTGGTGTAACGGTAGCACACACGGCGCTTATTCGAGAGGTCCAGATTCGAGTCCCAGTGAGGGCATTGCTCATTTTTCACGTCTCTAGCATTAAAAAACACCACTAATGATTCTACAGTGGCGCCCGAACTAAAAGGTGGTGGACAATAATTCGTTACCACCAGGGTTTGGCATTGAGGTCACCTAATCTCCAGCTGCCCTTTAAAAGGGGAAGTATATAAGGTATTTTTTCTCATTTCCTTCGTGTTGTAACGGTAGCACACTTGGCGCGTATTCGAGAGGTTCATCTTCGAGACCAAGCGAGGGCTTCGCTAATTTTTCATGTCTCCTGCGTAAAAAAATCCTAATGACTCTACAAACTATATTTTTTCATTTGCTGTTTCCTCTGATTTACCATTGCTTATGGCTGATGGGTCTGGGACCATATTCTTAGCCTACCAGAGTGATGCATTTGGAATCGACGCTCATCAATCCTTCCATCGATTATGGTCGCTTCCAGTCATGGATTTCTGTGGCCCATCCAAGATGCTGACAGCAGTTGCGTTCAATAAGAAGTACTCTTGTGGATCTACAGCTTCTAAAGGCGGTGAAGCAAGCGGTGAAGAAGCCATATGGTGAAGCAAACGCTGCACAGTTCATGTTCTAACTGTCACTTAGAAAGTCACCTGAGATAAGACTTGTTGTCGTTAGCTCTACAATATGTTTGAGTCGTCATAGACCACAATCATTCAAGCTTTCTTGTCTCTTACAAGGTTTGCCCTGTTACTCTTTCTTTTCTGCTATCCAAGTAGTCTCACCATACTTTCGATACTGTACAACGTGAGAATCCCAGTTCTCGAAATTTTTCTGAAAATGAATGAGCAATGCGTAGAACAATCTATTATTTTCCCTCTTTTGAAGGCGTCTAAATCGCAAAGTCTCAAGTTTTACCTAGCATGCTGCTTTAACAATCGCTTACTATGGGACTCTATTTGCAGTTCAGTATATATATTCTACGTCTGCTGAGGCAGCGGTGGCATGATATTTGCAATTTTAGTTTGAATTCAGTTTTTCTTGCGTAAGGAGATTATGATTCAGAATAATAACAATGGAAGTGATGGAATTTCAAAGCTTACGAAGGGCGTGTCAGTAATCTACTAATTGCTACGAGTTTTCGGGAATATTCTTTACGTCACGTGAAGTCACGTCATGCAAAGTTACTTTATAGTTGAAAAAAATGCTACAGTAAACCCTCGTTGATACGAATCGCAAAGGACCAAAAAAGAGTTCTTTTTAACTGGAGACTCAGATTTTATTTTTCGAATAGTTTTTTTTTTTCACACATTAACCATTTATGTACTGTAAGATCATATACAGCACTGCCGGGACCGAAATTTGCTTCATGTTAACCGAATATTCGCCTTAATTCTTTGAAAGGCAGTAGTTACCTACAGTATCCACCTTTTCTATTGAACGTCTTACTCCCTCGTGTGAGGGGTTTTCAAGACTGACCGTTTCTTGTAACTCACTAGATGGCAATCAAGAAAATCAAGAAACATAAGCCAGTTGTTGATGCAGCAATGCGTCTTCAAGAAAACAAGCATCAGCTATCGAAGACAACATCATGATGATTTGCACTCTGCAGCACCAAGAAAATGCCTGTAAGAACAGTGTGGGAATGCAGCACTTGTAAAGTTGCACTCTGTTTGAAAAAGAAAAATTGTTTCCATGAGTACCACAGAGACTGTTTTGTAGGGATGTGTTCTGTGGGCGATGGTCACTAACACTAACCACCAGAAGTGGTCAATTTTTCAAGCTTCCTGAACAAAATATGTGTAGTTGTCGCAAATAATTTCATTGTGATACCTGATATAGTAAATAAAACCAGAGTTTTACTGAAAAAGTTAATTGCCTTTTCCTGCCCCTCAAAGAGTTAAGCAAGTTCGTGTTAAGTAAGGTTTACTGTAGTTCCAAAGTTCTCATCAGTGAGCGGTATTTGATGAATTGAATGTAAACATAGTAATTTGTATGTGTGTTTGATAACGGGAAAATGAGTCATAATCACAAATAATTTGTAAGGTCTCGTTCATTTCCTTAACCAGTAGTTTTATGTTACTGCGTTTTCCTATTCTCCTCATTTCCATTTTTCTGACAGGATTTAAATTTCTAGCTAGCGCGATACTCAAATGAGGTAGAAAGGACTTAAACCCCAGTCGCCCTTTAAAAGCGGGAGTATATGAGGTATTTCTCCTGCCTTCTTAGCATGGCTTCGTAGTGTAGTGGTCAGCATGCTGAGCGCATATTCCAGAGGTACGTGGTTCGATTCCCAGCGAAGGCTTTGCTCACTTTTCACTTCTCCTGCTCCAAAAAATACCCAATGTCTCTACAACGTTACTTTAATTGTGCAGCTTACTTACTGTTACACAGTTAGTACAATTTTTTATCTTTGATTTAAGCCATTATTGCTCGCTATATTTTGTAAGCAAAAGTGATTCCTTCTTTTAACTTTTATTTTAAGTCAAATAAAAGGGTCCTTTACACCCTTTTTCCTATCTCTGTAGGCAAAACATAGTGATAATTCACTTCTAAGTCTTTAAAATGTTCCTTTTTTTATGCTTCCAAAGACCACGAGACGTTTTTGTGGCGCCTAAACTCTGAATAGAATCATGTCACAAGAAACACAATATTTAGTTTGGCCTCCTCGAGGATTGCAGCATTGGTGATAATTCTATTTTCTAATTAATCCAATTAAGTCAAACGTGTAAACCAAAAGTGATTATTTTTAAGTTATATAAAAATAAAATGATAAGTTTAAAATCAGCAACTATAACGCCTCTTCTCAAAAATTTTTAAAAAGTTCATGTCATAATAATATGTGGATGATAAAAAAAATTATTTTATTTAAAACATTTTGGCATTTGGAACATAAAATAAAAGTAGAGAATACTCTGTCAAGGGTATCGAGAAACGTATACAATTTTAAAAGTACCGTAAGGTATTTTTCATTCTTTAAGCATAACATTTTTGCTAAAATATATATTTTTGTAGTTCAGCAGCTTAGAATTTTATAAAACAAACTCATAATCAAAATCTCTGTTGTTAGTTATCGAAAAATAACCAAGATGTGATTTTTGCGTAAATGTCACTAAACTATACAAATTGCTATTATCCATCACACAATGAATGTTTCTTTTATGCGGAAATGTCCCGTTTTTCGATTTGTATGGAACTGTCGTGTGTTGAAATACTATCGAAGCGCTGTCAAGAGAGCTTCTGAATGTAAGCAAAAAACACCCCATCTGGAGACCGAAGCTTCGGAGCAGTGCTTCACTCTTAGTGTCGAG